CGCATTTTGCGAGTAAAAATAAGGTGAGTGGAAATTTGAGAGCAGAGCAGCTCCTGTCAGCTCTGGCTTCCTTCGGCCGGAGCTCTGACAGTTCTGAGCTCCGGCGAAGGAAAGAATGTCTGTGAGCAGCATCGATGCCTGGCTATCTGGGTGTGATAGTGAGGGCTGCTGCAGCCCTCACTAATCACTCACAGATAAACCAGAGATCAATTCTACTCACAGCCTCCTCCCTGCAAAGACGTGAACAGGTGAGGGGGCTCGGGGGAAGGGGTTGAGTGTATTATAATTTTGTTTTGGATTAATAAGGGGGGGAGTATATTCTTTTGTGTGGGGGGTTAATAAGGGGGAGCGTATTATTGTATGTGTGGGGGTTAATAAGGGGGAGTGTATTATTTTATGTGTGGGGGGGAGGTGTAACGTTGTCGAGCAGTGTATTATTGTGCTTTAAGCTGGCCATACACCTTACAACCATCGCACGACTTTCGTTGTGCGATGGTTGTAAGGTCATTAAAATCTTGTACGATCTGCTCATCTTGGACAGGCAGATCGTACTTGCGATCATCGCAAGCCCTCCCCGCTGAGCTGAGCTGATTTTTCCTCTAGAATGCACGGGTGGTGGGAGTTAGGGGTCTATGCACTAAGCTGCCGTTGGCAGCCGAGTTACTATCCGACCCCAAGCGAAGTGAGCCGAACGCTGTTCGGCTATTCACTTCAGGCTGGTAGGGCTGAAATCAGCCGTACATCGGGTGGCTTTGGAAGTGCAGAAGGAGTTCAACCTCCGGCAGGCTACTCACTGCTGTTTGGCCTATTCTCATAGATGCCGAACAGCAGTGAGTAAATAGTTGAATCCCGCTGAGCTTTTCTGCCCGGTACCTCTGTGGTAACGAGCAGAATAGAAAAATAGTTTAAAAAGTAGTAAAAAATAAAATAGAAAACGATTGGGCGGAGCTAGCAGTGACAGCTAGCTCCGCCCAACTGTTTTCTATTGGCCGGGCGGTTCTGCTGCCATTAGAATAGAAAAAAATTGAAAAAAAAATCACCATAGGAATGCATAGCTAGCTTCCTATTGGCTATTTCACTTTGCAATAACCAATAGCAAACTAGCTATTGCACCCACCCTCTGCTGCTGTCAATCACCAGAGGGGGACCAGATGGAGAACTGCAGGCCCCCCTCTGCTTATTGACAGCAGCAGTGTGTGGGTGCAATAGCTAGTTTGCTATTGGCTATTGCAAATTGAAATAGCCAATAGGAATCTAGCTATGAATTCCTATGGTGATTTTTTTTTTTATTCTGACGGCAGCCAACGGCTCCGATGTCAGAAGAAAAAAAAAACGAGTTAACCTTTCTGGGAGAAAGTGTTTCTCTCCCTGGCTGCCGGGAGTCATATTAGACTCCCAGAGCGTCCGGGAGAGTAATGACAGATGGCGTTCCTGGTTACCAGGTAACCAGGAACACCATCTGTCATTACCCACTGAGAACACGGAGAGGCCGCTCTCAGTGTGTAATGACAGCGTCCCTGTTTAGCTTGTAATCAGGGACGCTGATCTCTCTGAAAGTGGCCGGAGAATAGTGAATAGCCCGTACAGCACGGAAGGGGTCCTGGGGCCAAAGCTAGCCGAAGGATCAGCCGAAGCTACGGCTAGATCCTTCGGCAGCTTAGTGAATAGACCCCTTAGTGTTTAACCTAATTAACCCTGTCTGTACTATGCTGGCAGACCTCATTATCAGTTGTAAACTAGATCTGACACTGTGTGTTTGGTATGCTTGTGCTCAGTATTAAATGACACACATATATATATATATCTATAGATAGATATCTATATATAGACATATATTCATTATAAATGTATTACCTGGGGCCAAAGTTATGAATACTGAGTGAAACTTAAACTTGATGTTACTGTCAGAGATCAGATGAGGGTCATGTGCTCATTATTAATGCAGGCAACCTTTGGGGGATTATCTGAGGCTATCCAGTAATAACACTCATTTTTCTTGGTGCCTTGCTTTTTAGACCTGTTCTTGGGGTTATTTGGGGAGCTGATTGAGAATATTGCATTAGCTAGACTGCATCAGCTGTTTCTTAGAAATGGTCGAATTTATATAATTTTTTAAAGTTATTTTTTTAAAAGATCTTCTGTTACATAGTTTGTGTTTTTGCGTACAAGTTAGCAGATAAAGTAAAAGTGTTTATGTACTTCTAACTGTAATTTTACATTGCAAACATTGGATTCTAAATGGTAAGTATAACCCAAGTGAATGGCGCCTTTTCATTAATAGTTCGAAGTGTAGTTTGAAAGTTTTAGTTCGGTCACTCCACCAGGATGAAAAAGAGTACAAGGCCATCTCTTTTGTGTGGGAAAAGATACATTACCCTGAAAATCAATGGGTGATTTGTGTAGGCTTGAAGATGTTTCATTTTCTTCTTGGTCAACAAAGTGGCTATACAAAGAATCCTTGCTTTCTATGCCTTTGGGACAGTAGAGACATACATGAGCATTGGGTAAGAAAAAATTGGCCTCCCAAGGGAAGATATGGTAGTTGGAGAAAGAAATGTAATCAATGCACTTTTGCTAGCACAAGATAACATCATCTTGCCACCATTACATATAGAGCTAGGAATGATTAAACAATTTGTAAAGGCTTTGTATAAAGATGCTTTGTACAATGAATACATATAGGGGAATTTATCAAAACTGGAGCAGACAAAATCTGGAGCAGTTGCCCATGGCAACCAATCAGCATCTCTCTTCAGTTTGTTCAGTTAAGATTTGAAAATGAAAGAGAGATGCTGATTAGTTCCCATGCACAGCTGCTCCAGATTTTGTCTGCTCCGATTTTGATAAATTCCCCTCATAGTGCATACATTTCCCAGACTTACCATGGAAAAACTGAAGGCAGGAATTTTAGATGGTCCACACAAATCATACAGCTCATACATAAATGGCCCACATTTCATAAATTCAAAGAATGAAATAGAATTTTGTGGCTGGTCTTCATTTGTTCTTGTAAAAAAAAACCTCTTTGGCAACAAGAAGGCAGACAACTACACTCAATTAGTAGAAGAAACGCTCTTTCATTTCAACAGGCTTAGCTGTAAAATTAGTGTTAAAATCCATTATCTGCACAGCCACTTAGATTGCTTTCCAGAGAACCTTGGTAACTTAAGAGAAGAGCAAGGTGAAAGGTTTCACCAAGACATAAAAATAATAGAAGGAAGATGGGATGCACACATGATGGCATATTACTTTTGGAACCTTATGCAGGATTGTCCTAGCAGATCCCACTCTCCGGAGTCTTACAAAAGGAGCTTCCTCTGTGTTAAATTATTGGAATGTTTGTATCATTAACCTGTACTTTTGGTTTTAAATAGTTAGATTTAGGGGTCTATTCACTAAGCTGCTGTAGGCAGCCGAGTGAATAACGTGCCTAAACCGAAGTGAGCCGAGCGCTTTTCGGCTATTCACTTCAGGCTGGTACGGCTGATTTCAGCCGTATAATGGGTGGCTTCGGGTCGGCCGAACATGCTCAGCATGTTCGGCCGACCTGAAGTGCAGAAGGAGTTCGACTCAGCCGATCCAACATCTGGATCGGCTAAGCCGAACCTCCGGCAAGCTACTCGCTGCTGTTCGGTCTATTCTTATAGATGCCGAACAGCAGTGAGTGAATAGCCGAATGCCGCTGTGCAGAACAGAAAAATAGTTGAAAAAGTTGAAAAAAATACATAGAAAACGATTGTGCGGCGCTAGCGGTGACAGCTAGCTCCGCCCAACTGTTTTCTATTGGCCAGCGGTTCTGCTGCCGTCAAAAAAAAAGGAAAAAAAACCTCTCCCGGGTGCTCCGACCGCCAAGGAGAGAAACACTGCTTTTTCTTTCTTTTTCTTTATTCTGACACGGAGCAATTTTGGCCATAGGAGCGGCCGCTTGGCGAGCTTCGGCTTTCAGCACGGCTTAGCCGAGCCGAGGCATATGCGTTCAGCTTGACTGAGCTGCTCGGCCAAGTTCAGGAGCTGTACGGGCTGTAGTGAATAGCCCGTACAGCAGCCCTGAACCGAAGGGGTCCTGGTGCCGAAGCTAGCCGAAGGATCAGCCGAAGCTACAGCTAGATCCTTTGGCTGCTTCGTGAATAGACCCCTTAGTGTATTACACTTTTCTTTTAATGCGTTTCTTTCATGCTACATGGAGATTAAATAAAACACTACATTAAAATATCCTCATTTTTGACGGGTGACAAGAGAGAAGAGAGGTATATAGCTTTTATGCTGTATCTGGAAAACTAGTGTTGATAGGGAAAAATTGGTGCCATTTTTGGAATCAGTGGGTCAAATATACTCAGAAACAGGTTGAGGCACCAAAATGTGTGTTGGCCAGTGTAATTAATTGATATACTTGCCTATTTAGTGTTCTATCATCCCAGGCAGCAAACTGTGGAGTGTGAAGGATCTTTTTTTGACCGGAAACACATGGATATTTGTTCTGTATCTAATTTAATCATACAGTAATTAGAAGTAATTTCCAACAATCCAAGGGCACATTGCAATTCCCTAATTTGTACTGGGGTTCCCTGACCTCATTACCATCACAATGACATTCTATTGATTGGATTCATCTACTTTAAATTCAAATTTTTACATTTTACAATATTTTGATATAGCTAATTATTTATAGCTTTATTGGTATAGCATTACATGTTGCTGTATATTGGACCTGCAGATACCGCAACTATTAATTTTACAGTGACATGTTTGGAATGTATTTGAGCTGCTTGCAAATGCCTCCACAGATGTTAGTCTGTCCTTTTGAACATGAAATATCTTGCAAAACTAAATTAATATGCCAAATATTCAAAACAAAACACATTTTACATCATTTATTGATATAATATAGGAAATTGAGAAATTTCAGTATTTATAGTCAAACTGAGAGATTCATAAGCAAAGGGGTTTGTCTGTAAATTAACCATAGGAAGCTTTGTCTATAAGCCTTTGAAAAGCTCTTTTTACTTCATTGTTCCTAAGACTGTACAGTATATTAATGGGTTAAGCATTGGAACAAAAACAAGAAAGATAAGAGACCACACTTTGGGTCCTCCATAAGTATCAATAGCTTTTGTTCTTAAGTAGGTTATGGTGGCTGAACCAAAGAACAGGCCTACAGATGCAAGATGGGAGCTGCATGTTGAAAAAGCCTTTTTACGTCCAGCTGAAGAATGTATTCTGAATACATTGAAGAGTATACGTACATAGGACACAAGAATTAGTAAAAAGGGTAAGGGTACGACTAAAAAAGTATAAATTAGAATATATGGCTTAATTACCATTAATAGGGCCAGAGGAGTATCAGAACAAACCCAAGGAACCACTTGTAGTATATCACAAAAGAAATGATCAATGATGTTCGAATTACAGAAAGGAAGGCTAAACACAAGAATAATATTACCCAGGGGTAAGGACAAACCAGCCACCCACGACCCTACTGAAATGCATAGACACTTTGGGGTTGATTTACTATCCTCACAAACACGCCATGCAAAAACACGCCGATTGCGCGCGCGCGTGCGCGTATACGCTTGGCGCGGAAGCGTATGCAGGTTATAAAGATGCTTGATAAATACTACCAACGCGCGCGCATGGCGTGTTAAAATGCCGAGGATTCAAATGCTCCCCCCCCCCAATCCATACCAGACCCTCTCTGTCAGAAGGGAGCATACCCCAAGTGAAAACCAACCGACAAAATGGCGTGGGGTTCCCCCCCAATTCATACCAGGCCCTTCAAGGCACTGGTGTGTAAGTACCTTATTTTGGAATACTGTCTTTTACCAGTTTGTAAGTGTTATGTAGAATGTTTGTATGCACAGAAGCATAGCAATAACATATGTATCATATGTATGATTTGTACATGTATGGCAGTAGTAGAAATATGATTCTAGCACTTGCAATTTTTTTTATAGTGGCGTGCAGCCGATGGCGCATATTACACGACACGCGCGCAAGTAAATACATAAAAACGCGCCATGCCTGCGTGAAACCGCGCCATGATGTACGTGTTCGCTTGGTAAATGCATTTCTGCGGGTTAAAACTCGCACACAGCCTGCGCGTGTGCGTGTTGGGCTTCGTAAATCAGCCACTTTGATTTTGTCATCTTAGTCATGTAGTGAAGAGGGTCACAGATGGCCAAATACCGATCATAAGCCATGAATGCAAGTATAAAGCATTCTGCTGCTCCCAAGCAACAAAAGATATAGAACTGGGCCGCACAACCTAAAAAGGAAATTGCTTTATCTTGGTGCAAGAAGTCTCTGAGCATCTGAGGCATTGTCACAGTAGTGTAGAGCATCTTGGTGATAGACAAGCTTCTGAGAAATAGATACATGGGAGCATGTAGCTGTGAATCCAGAGTCACAATTAAAATGATAAATAAATTTCCAGTCAAAGTGGAAATGTAAATAAGTAAAAATACACCAAAAAGAAATGGTTGTAACTCAGAAGAGAGTCCCACCAAGACAAATTCAGTCATATGGGTTTCATTTTTACTAGCCATAATACTTCTTTTAAAAGCTGCAAAGATATACACATACATCAGTAATGTTGCAAAACAACTTCAAAATGTAAATCTTTTTGTGTACTGTTTATTTCCATGTAAACAACATATGCCAGGTCATACATACAATGGAGCAGGGAGAAACTGTTAGTATATGTGTGAATTGTGGGCCCACATACATGATTGAACATTTGCTCACATAGCAACCATGATCACTGAACATATCTACCTGATCATACATTGATGTCCAATGCATATGACATGGTCCCAACTTGCCATGCATTTTGAACATCCCCAAAAAAATTACGAAAGTCATACACACACATTTTCCTGAAAAAATGTACTAACATAAAATGTTGCAGAATATATTTGATAGCACACCCATGTTATTAAGACCAAAACGTGTGTTTTTTTCCATTTGGGGTAGAGTAGAAAATGGTTAAAACTTCTGTCAAGTTATTTCTTGCCGACTGCAACACATTGCAAAGATATCACTTCACTTTTTGATCTATAGGCACAACAGGAAGTAGGAGAAAATCTTTTTAGAAAGCATTGTTTTACATATGCATAAAGTGTATGTACTTTAGTGATTTTGCTTTTTTTTAAATTAACATACAATTCTAACTGCCAAATGAAAAATGAAAGCATGACTGAGGTCCATTTTATTTGTATTTTTGTTTTTTTTTTATTTTTAGTACAGTGATAAACCTTGTCAGCATGTCTCAGGACCAGGAAGCAAACTGAAATCTGAGACAAATAGAGCAGTGTGAGCCTTTTAGGTCCACTCATGTAAAAAATGTAGCTTGAATTGCTATCTGTGTTTCTGTTAGAGAAAACTGACTTCCAGTTTTGTTGACAGGGAGACAGGGGTCCATAGAGTCAGGGGACATTTTCCCAGCCATGATACAGACAGCAATAAGACCTATCATAGCTTGTCATCCTTTTCCACTTTTAATTCAAACATAAGAACAAAAGAATATTATTATTTTGGTTTTGATTTGTATTTTTATCACATCTTTGAATATCTGTTTTGTAAACATAAAGTGGATTGAGACTTTGAAAGGAGGTAGTTAGTATGATTGAATATATCCCTTACAGAATGCATCAATGGGAATGTCAGTTTAAGTGTTGCAGAGAAAGACAAATCCTGGCTATAAGCTAATGAATTTTCTACTGCACATTTTTATCATTTTTGTTTTTTCTGATTTTGTAAAGAGTGTGAATATTCATTTTATTCACTAGAATGTAGAAAGTTTACATAACCACCTTTTTTAACTGTAATACCTGAGTTTCTAAAAGAAATCTATCACTTACTGCTTAGACATAATCCTTCCAAACGGTTTCAAGCAATGAAAAGAAGGGATTTTTCTGGCTGAAATATCTAGCTTTATATTCAGTGACCTCCCATGATAGTCTATTAGGCTTGCTCTGTCTGGGAGGTTTATTATAAGTCATTTTACACATATTTCCACTGGGTCCACAGATCACCTGAGAGGTTTTTCTTTAGCAAGGTAAATATTTTTACATAATCCCCAACACATTTACCCTATCTGTAACCCTAATCCTTAGACTGACCCTTCCTATAACAAATAGCTTGGCTTACACACAGCAGCAGCACCCCAATCTGATTAATTTTATTTAGAAAAAAATGTGTTTTCTCATTTAACTTTATCAGTGACACATGCTTTTTTCATTAAACAAAAATGGTCCTGATATGATGGGCAGATAGCAATTGGCCAGCAGTTTGTCGTGGCTGTCCCTGTTCTTGCTGATGCAAAACTGCCCTTTCACAAATTCTGTCAAGTTCTTATTAGGAATTAAGAAACCCTACATTACAGCACATACAGCTGTGTAAAATTATAGGAGGAAATTGGCTGAAACTAAATAGAGTTTTACTATACAAATTAAGATACTGCAGAGGATAGAGCAGTGTAAAACTGACAGTAGTACAGTTTTAATCAGGGATAATAAGCACAAGAGTGCAGGCATGTGTTTTACCACATGATTTAAAAGACCACAGATAATACAGAAGTGTACATTTGGCCGTCAGCAGGGCAATTTTAATTAACAAGCCTTTGCCCAAATTTACTAGAGACATAGAGCACATGCTTGGGTTTTGCTACAGGAATTACAGCAGTATACAGCTGACCAGCATCAGGGCAGTTTTAATTATGAATAATAGGTCTAAGAAGTGTATGCCTAACATTTATTTTATGTATGGGGAATAGGGAGGTGCTATGAACGTAAGTGATATTATGTGAGGTGGTATAGGTGTACACTGTTCGTGCACTTAGCAGCATGTTGCTTCATCATTTGAAAGAAAATAAAAGCTAACAAAAACCTGCTTCAAGAACAGATGGTTAGTTGAAAGTAAATGCTCCACTTTGAGCATTTCAAACAAAACAAATGCCCCCCCACCCCCTCCAATTTTAGATGGAAAAAAGGGAAAAAATGCATAAAATAAAGGAAATATGATGTGGCAGATTGTCATTCCTTAAAACAAAGGCTCACTTTCTTCTTCGAAGAAAAGCCTTGCAGCAAAAACATGCAATTAAAAACCCCAAAATAAATGAATATCCCAAAATATCAACCCCTAAAATAAAAGCCCAAAATTAAGAACAAAAAAGATGAAAGCAAAGGGGATGATTGTCCAAAGACCTAGCAATCAGAATGAAAGTACATATTCCTAACATACCCTAATCTCTCCCTACGTAGTTTGTCACCTTTCCCTGCCACATATTCCAAGTCACTCCTTCTAAACCTGTGTCCAAAGTTCAAAAGTCCACAGTTTGTTTCCCCTTTGAAAGGGACAATATTTCCCAGAGATGTGTAATATAGATAATGACAAGCAATAGAAGGCATGTTGCTTTTGAGAATGAGGAATAGTCACATTAATTACACTAGATCATTGTGGTGTATCATTATTATATAAAAGAATGATCTGACTAGACATAGATACTGCTCCATTCATCAGCAATACAGCATTGACAATAAATAAATACATAAATAAATAAATAAATAAATAAATAGAAGCATTTTGGTATTTTGGATATTTGTGAATTTTAGGCACTACATAAATAAAAGGTACTACAAGGTACTTTTCTATCAAAACATTCTGGTGTCCTTGTTAATAATCCCTTTAGCAATGGTATTGATTACAATTCTATTTTTCTGTACAATAAATTTAGGGTTCACTGACAATTCCTCATAGACAGTGTTGTCCAATAGGATCATAATGATGAAATTAAATGATAACAGGTATTTGGGATCTGGAAATTACAGAAAGAAAATTTGGAAAACATAATACTAGTGATGAAAACATTACTGTGACAGTCCTTCTAAAATAAAAATCTTTTAATGAATACAGTTAACACAAGCAACATGAAATCTTCTTGTTATAAAACCATTGAGGCAGAAATCTCCTTCAGAAAATGTCCAGTGCCCAACACATGTAATAAATAAACCCAGCAAAACTGCATGACCTTACTTCACATTCAGTTCTGCAAGCACATTGTGCACATTATACTTCTCCACTCTCATCAATTCGGTCTATTTGTCTCCCGGAGTCAAGAGTTCAATTAGAGTAATATGTAGGAAAAAAATCACTACATAGTGTGATATTGTAAAAGAAAATGTACTTTAGGCACCTCTTGGAGAGGATTAAGCAGGTGTTGTAATGGGGTATGTGCAGTAAGAAGCTGGAGACAGTCGATCTGGGAGTCAGGAAAAGAGATCTCTGATACATGTATGAGACGCCCCGGAAAAGCACCTGGTCCCCATGCCGATGGGGACATGGGCCTCTTCCCTGGTTGTGGGGGTGCGGGCAGGGGGCTTATTCACATCAGAGTACCCCTTTAATAAGGAGCACCCAGATGTGCCCCCCGTTAATGAGTAAGGGGGAATTGTACCTCTACCCATTCACAAAAGGGTTAAATTAAAGTTTTAAAAAGAGGCCACACTTTTCAAAAAAATACTTTATTCGAAAAAAACAAACAAAAGTCATGTTTTTAATTTAAAAAGAAAAAATGGATCCAGCGTTGTCCACGACGATTACTCGACAAAATAAAAAATAAAACAATAAAAATAAATATTTTTTTTAACCAACTATTGGCGTCCCGTCACTGCGACGAACACCTACCGCAGAATGGCATTTTGATAGATGCCAGCAACTTATAAACAATTGGGAGGAGCTGGCAGTGACAGCTAGTTCCGCTCAACTGTTTACAGTTGTAACAGGTGAACCATGATTGAGCAGAGTCATCATGACCTTGCCCAATCATGGCTCTCACAATTCTCTGTGACCTGATTTGGCAAGGCAGGTACAAGGCTTTAGCTAATCAGGGCTCACAAGGCACATAGACTTGTGCAGGCAGGTGAACAGCACATACTGCTGATGTTCAAGTCAAACTCATGTTCGACTTGAGTGGTTAATAAACTGATGAAGTGGTTAATAAACTGATGAAGCATTAAAACCTTTGTCAGGTTTTTATTTTTGTCTGTATGATTGACTGAGGCACTGAACCTTTTTGCTGTAGAATATAGAGCCAGAACAAATATTTATCAGTTTCATCTGCAAATAAAGCTTAAATTGTACACCTGTAGTATCAAATGCTTTACTTTTGGGTCAGAGTACACAATAAGCGTAAGGTACATAGTTAGCTAAATAGATAAACTGTCCACTTTGTTAAAAATGTAGGTTATTTGTTGTGTGGATTGTGGTAACTTGTCCAACAAACATCTAAAACTAGACTAAAATGGAGAGACACAAACATCAGTAATAATTTGAGTTTTCTGTTTTTTCTATGCACTCAACCAACAATGTCCAAGCTAATATTACAGGCAAGAAATAAAGTTGGGGTATTTTACTGCTCGAAAGAGGTATTTTGTTACAATATCCCAAATCTCTTTGTTTCTGAGGCAATAAATAAAAGGGTTAATAATTGGAGTAAACACAGCATACAGAAGAGATACAAGCTTATTTACATCCGATGACTTGGCTT